GACGCTCATTTATTTAAATCAGGGGGAGATGGGTTTGTTTCCCGAAGTTGTATAGTAATGCTTTTTCATTAAGCGGAATCCATAAGAGAATCGAATCGTTTCACAGAATAGATAAGGGGATCAGAATCCTGAAAATCTTACAAATTCCCAGCCCTAAGCAGGTCAGATCATTTCAAAAAGTACCACACCAGTAATCAGTCAATAATTTGATCAGCCAATCTCTGCAATAGAGAAAGCTGAATACCTAGCGAATAATAACCCGATCAAAACTATAAGCAAATTTGAAAACATGTCAACTAAAATTGTGATCAAAGTTCAATGCTTTTGATTTGGGCTAGGATTAGATAATACCTGGAAAAACTAGACCAATTTTTTTTTAAATGCATTCTCTAATTCGAGGGTCTTCAACAGGGGGTCCGCGACCCCTAGGGGTCCACGGAGGTACTGCATGGGGGTCTCGAAGGTTTTGATTGATTACACTTTTTTTATATTCCCCTAATTGAAATATCTTTAAATCCACATTAGCATGAATTCAACAGACTGTAGTAAACAGATAAATGGAGGCAGATGTCTTTAAGTCATCAACGCACACATTCAGAGACACACAGGAGCTCTTTGGAGCTGGGCACCATTTCATTCACAACACCTGTCCCATCAACCAGGAATCAGAATCAGAAATACTTTAATAATCCCAGGGCTAGGTTACTTTCGTTACATTACTCCATCTGTAATAGAGTATCTATAAGACCAGTTTGATATAACACAATTTCATAAAATATATATAATTAGGGGGGTCCCTGCTCCATCTCACCATCAGTTTGGGGGTCCTTGGCCTGGAAAACGTTGAAGACCCCTGCTCTAATTAGCATCATGTAGTATTGCTTACACATTTCTTCAGTTTATACAGGTCATGTGAAGAATGTATAATTATATAAAAATTAGGGAAATAATCACTAACGCTAATGTAGAAAAGGACATTTCTGAGATTTATAGTAGCTTGGTTTGGTGAAATGATGACTAGAAGTAGGTTGCCAGACTAACCTCTTCCACAAAGCAGCAGATCTGAACGGGTCTGGGCCCCCAATCTGCTTTTAGCGGGATCCAACTCAGATTCTCTCCTGAACCTCGGGTGGAACAGCGGCATGCACAGGAAGTCAAACCTGCACACAGGAGGAGGGAAAGCATCTTAAATCACACCGATAGGTTTAAAATACAAACCTGGAAAAACATCGAAACACATTTCCAATAAGCTTTAACCGTATGAAGAAATATAAAAGTGAACACCGCCCCCCCATTGCTGTTTTTTAACACTTCAGTCCAACATCAAGCATCGTTATGATTGGGGCACGTGCTGTAAACTCGCCGGCTAGCTTAGCCAGCATCACGCTCTGACACAAAAACCAACAAGCGCAAACTGCCGTAATACATCTAAAAACTCACACACAGAGAAAAACACTTTCCTTACCCGAGTTTAGCAACTGCGGCTAAAGTGTCAGCAATCTCTGGCACACAATTCAAATCTCTCCCGCAGGACACTCTGCTCCCTGTACTGGCGGACGCCATGGCTTCAGTCTCTCTCTGTCCAACCGTGCAAGGATACCTGCTAACTTTCGAGGAAACTGGCGCCATTTTGGACCCAAAAGGACTTCTGGCAGGCTTTACGGGAGGCGGAAGTTGGAGCCAAAATGGCTTCCCACGGACTCCAGTTTCATATCTCGTAAATTATCGCGTTAGCAGTTGATAATTCCAGTTTTAAGGACTTTCGCTTTCGTCTTTTTCCCGTATTCGGTAAAATAAGTGAACTAATGTGTGAGTAATTAATTTAGACACGTGATTTTTTTAAAAAAAGGAAAACATATAGCGTTCAGAAATGTCCCTTTTTTCACATTGTCTTTTTCATTTTTGCATTACAACATAAAATAGTAATTTACCATTCTGCATGAGATCCTTCCTGCCCCACACTGCAAGTAAAAAGAGTTATAACAATGCCTTATTCCATACTATTCTATTTAGAACCAATAAAGTGTTATTAAATTGGATAAATAATCAAATGATTGTTTATTGCAGTGAAGAAAGAGATGAAACAACAACAAAAAAAGCTTCTGACATTATATATATATATATATATATATATATTTGAATGTATATGTGTGTATGTGTGTGTGTGTACCTCTTTTGCTATCAGAGTGAGGACCATTTTTCCAATTTTGTCATCAAATTGAGGACCAGTTGTTGCAAAGTGAGGACATTTTGCTGGTCAAGTTTAGGGCGAAGGTGTCAATTGGGTTAGATTTAGGGTTAGGGTGAGGAAGGCATTGTAACGGTTAGGTTTAGGGTTAGTTTTAGGGTTAGGGCATAGAAAGGGTTAAAAATGTCTGAAAATCAATGGAAGGAAATGAATGGGAGGCAACACATGGTCATCACTACAAATAGCAGAAGGAGTAGGTGTGTGTGTGTGAATAGAATAGAATAGAATAGAATAGAATAGAATAGAATAGAATAGAATAGAATAGAATAGAATAGAATAGAATAGAAAATCACTTTATTGTCCCACAATGGGGAAATGTTGGTGTACAGCTTTTAGAAAAAATGGTCACACAAATGTGGACCTTACAAAAGTATATAAGAATAACATAATAGTGAAGAGTTAAAGAATACACTCTATCTATCTATCTATCTATCTATCTATCTATCTATCTATCTATCTATCTATCTATCTATCTATCTATCTATCTAT